TATGACCAGAGAATGATTTGGGTATGGGATATTACGCACAGTCATACTGGGGGAGATAGTTACGTGGAACCACAATTATCTGCACGAAGAAACGAAACGGTCGTTACGAAACTTTGCTTGGGAACTGTCATACCCATTATAATTTTGAAGATCAATCTGTTTTTCTAACTTTTTCAAACATTTATCACACCTACCGATACAATGTTCGGTACTGTCGCGAGAACTATTTTTGGTATAATTGTTTCATCGTTCTTTATATTCTCCCAGTTTATCTTGCTTCATTTGTGCGTCTAGCATGTATCAATGCTAATTGGGATAAGCATAGGATTTTTAACATCTGGTGTCTCAAGAACAACATTAGTCTCAAAGCCATCATGGTGAAATCTCCGGATATTTTGTCTATTTCGGCACGAATAACCCACATAGCAAGTAAAGCATTTCTGAGATAAAGTACCTACCTAACAACTAGACGTCCGGGTGAAGTCCGCCTCCATGCGAGTCGTCTGAGCTTGGATTTACAGACTGCGCTAACACAGGCTGATAATGGCAGACCTTACAATAAGACCTCAGAAGGTAACGCATCAAGAAGACGGGAGTAGAAGGAAAGGCAAAGGCGCAAGTTCGAACATTTGCTGGTTAAAATTAATAAGGCCGATAGCCATACTGAAAAGCATGTGTCTAGTAGCATTACTTTTAGGGTTGTTAACATGTCAGATAGGGATAGTTAATTGTTACTGAGTATTGAGTTTTAGAAAGGGTCTGAATTTTTCTATCAGTAAATCTAAACTAAGAGCAGCAGGTTTGATTCCCGCGGTAGAAACTTCTATGACGAGACTACTCGCTGAAAAGGCAGAGGACATCAGCGAACAATTAGCCGATATAATTTGACTTCAACAGCCGGCAGAACGGAATTTTGCGCCAGCCGAACACATAGCGTTAAAGACCCTGAAATTGGGTCCTAGTATGGTCAATACAACAGCGGATAACTGTAATGTAACAGTGCTAAAGAATAAACCAGATCATTCAGAAAAAATGAAGGAGCATTTAAGCACCGAACCACACAGTTATCACAGCGGTAATGAATAAGAAGAAATCAGATGTCCGTGTTCACCTAAGTACCGTGAATGACAGTTTAGGAAAGTGTAAGTGGTACGACATTCATCCGAACTCGGCTATTCCAACTAGAATTTACCGTTTACCAAAGATGCTTAAGCACGACTGCTCTTTGCAACCTATATTGGATGGCATAGCTTCTTCCACACATGAAATAGTGAGATATGTAGCGAACCTACTGCAATCCCTAATAGGCAGAACGAGCCCATTTGTAACGAACGCTCATGAATTTGCGCGAATGATATGGAGTGTGAACATTGAACATGTTGAGTTGATGCTCACTTCCATGTTGCCTCCTTGTTTAAAAATATACCCAAAGAGGAAGTGTTACCATTAACGATGAGGTGCTTGATAAGATGCAGCAGCTTAGGGTATATAACAAGACTTACAATGGATCGACGGGATAGCTTTGTGCCTCGACATGACTTGTTTCACATTCCAGTCGATAATGAACACTCAAGAACAGGGTCTGGCCATGAGAGCTTCAATACATTAGCATAGAAGAGTTTGAACAGAAGACCTTCCAAACTTTTCTTAGCGCTCTGGGAGTATAAGAGCGCTAAGTGTGTGAAACTTTGCGATTATTAAAATGGATAGCAAGGTGGGAATCTTTGAGTATTTGAACTCAAGTGACGATGCCATAAAGTTCCCTATGGAATCTGAGTCGCAGGGTGGTACTCCACCGATCCTTGATTGTCTGCTCCACATGAACAGAAGAACGTTAAAACTGCAACGTATCGCAAGCCAATAGACACAGATGGGGTACTTAACTATAGTGCAGGCCACCCGAAGCACTTTTCTGCGGGAATGACTTCTCCACTCTTTCACAGAGCAAGTGCACTGCACACAGGAAGAAACTAGAAAAACCGCGCAGAAGGAGATGAAAAACCTATTATCTAGCGGATATACGAAGCGATTGATGAAACTGCAGCTACAGAAGTTTTGCCACGCACACACATGACCAACCGCAATGTGGATAGCGACAGTATGTAGACCGTTAAAGAGAAAACTTCGGAAGCGCTTCGGAAGGTACTGAATTAGGAGAAGGAAGGGGTCGTTTCCAAAAGGATAAAACGATACGGACGATGCTTGTGCATTTGAAGGATTTCCTTTCGTTTGATAGAGCAACTAATTGCATTTACAAAATTCCATGTTATGATTGTACGCAGATGTATATAGGCCAAACGGTGCGAGAAGTACGTACAAGCATTTCAGAACATTGACGACATATATCATGACCTCCGAGAAACAAGGTCGAGTCTGCTCAGAGACCCAGCATACGCTAGACACAGGGCACAAAATTGACTGCAAATGTCGAGGTTATCAAGGAGGGATTGCGATTAGCTTAAGAAAGGCTAATTGCTGAGGCAATAGAATTAATCAACACTAACAACTGCGTGAATATGGTAGACGAGGTGATGGTTGTCTAGTGTCTGGTGTCCAGTCTTACTCTTGCCAGGTTGATAAGCATTGGTGGGTGGATCCGAAGTCGAAATCTACTAGCAACGCTCCCTTCCTCAAAGTCCTAAGTACCGAAGACAAATTCTATCAGTGAGCAAGTTACTTCCAAAGGACCACTTAAGATTGCCGAGTATACATGTAGCTAACCTCAGACCAGCATCTTTTGTTCACCATTTGATCCTGGCTGAAGCAATCCACGGAGTACACACGAACATGGTGACTTTTGACCGCTGTAACTCGTCAGTGAACTGCAAGTTTATTAATCTCCGTAGATAGCTTATACACGGCTGTTATAACATGCCAATGTTAATCTAATTCACTACGACTGAAGCAGCTTTTGAGTCAAAAGCGAAACATTTTGCGACGTGACAGATATAGTAACCTGTCGTCTACCAAGCCTTATGAAATGATCACTTTGCGATCAGTCCAAATATATTCAATGAGATCCAAATGACTACATTTGCTAGTTTTCGGAAGATTCGAGGCAGTGTTCTGTAAGCATGATCATATGGAGAGCGGCAACACGGCCGTATAGTGAGATATGGTGAGCGGTCTAGAGGCCGTGAGACAACAACCCAAAACGACCTCCTGGTTGGTGAACCAAGAGGATATCATCATCCACTTAAGAAAAGTGAAGCGATCTATCACCCATCGCGTTGTTTTGCCGTCCCCGTACGTAGCCGCCTTGCTGTCCGTGCTATAGCCGCCTAATTGTGATAATTCGTTTAGTCCTAGCCAACGACACAGTCCTCGTGAATCATACCCACGAAGCGAACAACACGTTCGGAAATGCTTCCTTTACCTGCGAAAAACAACGCTCAGCCCTAACGCACCGGAAATCAAGCGAGACAGGGTGAAGACATGGCTTCCATAGTGCTTTTACGTTCCAACAATAGCGAATGCGCGAGTGCGCAGCCTAAACTTCACACTGAAGACTGCGGACGTACTTGAAGTGCCAATTAGCCCTGCCTGCTGAGTCAGACGAGAGGTGGCTTGTGTTTTATGTAACATGCGGATTCAGGTGAAATGGAGGGCTAAGCATAATTGTAGCTCGCTTGGACAGGGCTTATGCGATGTTGTGGGGTCTTGTTTCCGCCATAAAGTTTGAGATACCCTACATGCCTCAAACACGGATCATGCCAACTGAAAGTTTACAAAACCACCAGCTATCTCCAGCCGACTGAGGAGAACTTGTCGACAGAATGCAACATTGCAGCAATTTCAGCAAAGTTTCACTATCTGCAGCCAGGAATCGTCTAATTAGCGTAGTGACCGCATGTTTGTGTCAGATTTGTCTGACGTGTTTGTTCTCCTTTCTCAGCCCTGCCGTTCATAGAGTAAGAAAAATAACGAACAAACACGGATCTAACTGGTGGAGACTATTCCGCGCAGCTCATAAAAGACCACCTGTCAGGGATGTAGAGTAAACCGAGGACCATGTCGTCCACAGCCCGTATGCATCAACCGAGACGAATGCCATTACTCATACCTACTAAAAATCAGTGCATAATTATACAAAAATCGTATTTTCCAACACAAAAATTCTCGTCCTCAGAGTTACAGTAATGGAAGAAATTAAGTAGCAGAGTTATCATCTATATCTGGAAAACACTTTCAAAGGCTAACAGCAGAAAGTTAAGCAATGGCACATGGTTACTTAAGGTTGGCTGAAGCCAAACACACTGTTACAGATGAAAACTATTAAAATGGCAAGGTAATCAGCTAGTCGGAGCAGGTAGCATTCGATGTGGGTCATGTGTTTCGGCTACTAAAGCTGACAATGTATAATACTGTCCATGGCGGGAGTTTAGTAGTATATGAAGCTGGTCCTTCAGTCGAGTCAAGGTGCTGCATGGCTCCCGAATTATTTCATGCTGTTCCAGCATCCTGATTTTCTTTACCACTTCAGTGATACACTGGTCCAACACAGAGCCGGAAATATGAGGGAGCGGAACGTTTTCAAAATCACGAATAATGGTAGGTTGCAAGGCGATTTGCAGGTCATATTGCTGCATGATTCCTGACAGTCGATGACCTCTGATACGCAGCTGGCAGCGGCCTTCAGCAGGAACAATGGGCACAATTGACATGCGACCGCGAGCAGCAAGCAGTTTTCCACAACTCTTACACCGCAGCGTGTATTCTGCAACAAGCTTTACTGACCAGCTCTCACAACACGCTAGGCAGTCACAGTGAAATCCAAAGCGTTTGTGTAAAAATTCTTGTCTTGCGGTGCCATAGTAATTGTCGCGAAGACTGAAAGAAATCTCCTCACCAGCTCTAATTGTTCTGTATGCGAACCATCCCTCACCGATCTCATCTATCGTAATGATACCGCTGATCTGACGGCAAGAATGTGAGGTCAGGCTTAAAAGCGCATATATCCCGCTGGACTCTGTGGTTAGTTGAATTCGGTCGCGTACGGTTCAAGATGAGTTCACCGCGTCTTGTTCCCGACAGACAACGGTTTGGCAGCGGGTTGCACACATGTCTGCTTGGAGATGATACAACAAACAGGCGGCAGCCCAGGATGCCGGGAGTGTGGATCGATCGTCACCTGTTAGTGCATGTGAAGGCGTCAACATTGGATCATCTTCCCAGTCAAGAGGGTAGCCACCAGCCTGTGACAATGGAAATGGGACAAAATATTTCTGCTCCATAGCTTAGAAAAACGATGTCGATCATTTTGTTACCAGCCTAACTTTGCGTAAGCATAAGCGTAAAATTGAATTTACTGGTGTTTGTCACACCCTGGATAGCATTCAGTGAAGCTATAAGATGGGTATTACAAACGCGCCCCATTGAACTTGTTTGTCAATGTTGCAGCAACGACGATTATCACGACGTATCACAGGGGGAGATCAAAGTTGCAAGTAGCATATTGGAGTATTTTGGGGAAACGGGAAAGTGAACTTACCGATAAACAGTGAGCGAGAAACACGGCGGCCACAATCCGTTGCCAAAAATCTTCCACAGAGCGTTCCTTGCGTCCAGGACTCCTCCAACTCACTTACTCATACGTACCTGTTCTGACGACGGCAGCCGGCACGGTTTCGTGGCCAGAGAAAGCAAACAGCGAAGACCGTGGTCGCACGGAATTTCCGGAGTGTGCGGCCTTCTTGTTGCTGTTATCCATCTGACCCTGTAAAATAGCGAGACAACAACAGACCACACTAGATATATTTTTGCAATAAACCTGAGAACTAGCCGACGGTCAAGCACGGGGTCACAATAAACGAGCTGCGAATAACTACTGTAAAGTGAGCACGTTCATAACATGCTATAAATGTTGTGTAGACACAAATATGCAGCAATCAACTGTCACGGCATCGTTTGCGACTTACCCGCACCAGTCTCCATATCGTCCTCCAAGGAGTGCGAGCGACACAAGCAAATGCCAAAATAAAATCTCGCACATCCAGAGTCGGGTATTCAATGGGAGTAACTTTGCGCAGCCAACTGCAGTAGAGCTGCAGCCTCGAGGATGGACGTGCTGCACCACCGGACTCTTGAAGCCACAGCAATCCACCCACATCCTTCAACATGATTCGTGAGCACTGACCACATTCGAAGCGATGGAGTTGATCCAAATTAGGTCTGTCCACAATTGCGCCGTGTGATACAACTTGCCTTGGGTGCCACCAATCCAACTTCCAGGTGTCCCGCTCACATTGAGCAGAGCAAAGCCCAACGTAAGGGGAATAAAATGGAGAATTACAATTCACTTGAAGTATAAGCGATCAATGCTTTCAGTGAGAACTACCCTTCAGTTTCTAGTAGCCAGTTCAACTAAGCAACAGTGTGATTCGCATTGGTAACTGGTGTGCTCTGAGAAATTTGAAAGCGGGACAATTTACAATCGCTCATTTGTTTCCCGAGCTTAGAAATTTGTTTGCAAACGTTCCACCGTCAGTGCACTGGTATACATAGGGTAATCTTACTGGTGACACCTCGCTTGGTGGTGAAACATTAGCAAACAACTGCTAAACTCAGTGAACAAATGCACGACTGAATCGTCAAGCCGTGTCAGCAGTGTTACGAAACATTTTAAACGGGATACGTTTATTAGCTCAGTGGGACTGAGACCTCTTAGTGGAGAATATTTTTTCTTCATACAATTCCGTTTTGTCGCACAGTAACTCTGTAAGCAGAATGTCAGATGTTCTCGTTTGACATTGATGTTATCACCGGCATACGTCGGTTGCATGCAATCCGCACTGCTTGTCGCTTATCCCGAATCAGTATCTGTGCAAGCTTATGAATAGTTAGACCTGAGTTTTCGTCCTCAACCGGCTAGCAACGATGGTTTACAACAGCAAAACCTGTGCCAGTATGAACCAAATGGCATCCGCATGACGCAGATAAGCAATTGTTTCATGTCGCCCAGCGTTTAAGACGGGGTCGTGTACCCAGACAATCTAGGCACATCACATAAGCATGGGTTCATTTTATTTGAACAGGACTCAGCCGATAGTATCACTGATTTCGTGGTGAATAAGGAGTAGTACTGTGCTCATTCAGATACAAAGCGGTCATGTGATCTCATAGGTTCAAGGCTCAACTACGTGATGAAAGGGTTGATCGACTCCGTTTCCACCAAATTTGACTTCACATTTAACCGTCTACAGCATCCTCTGTAAAGTTGGTCTCGCATGGATGTCATAAGCACCATCTATCACAACGCGTCACATATTTGTAATGATATATATATATATTTATATATATATCGAAGGCGGTTGATCGTCATGCATGGCGCGATATCATCACGAAGGCAAGTGCCGAAGTGCGGGAGAATGACCTCATACATGCAGAGAAGAAGCGACAAGTGTGGAAGTACCAAGCACCGATTGGTTGTACGCCATCGACATCGAGCACACGCTGTTGTAACTCATGCGGTCGCGAGTACCTGAGTCTGGCAGGCCTAGTGAGCGAGGAGATAAGACATTCTGTGCCACCATCGAAACGAGGACAGGCCCTGCAGGGAACGTATGCAGAACCGGCGCAGCGTTTGTAGGTAGGCTGCATTCGATTTACTACCCGAGTGTTTGCATGCTAATTCTTTGTATTTCATGTGGTCGGTTTTCAATTTTGTCCAAATACTTATCTTTCTTATATTATTGTCTACCTGTACTATCTTCTATTAACCTGCACACGTTACTGAAGCTACTTGTAGTTAATTTCGATAAACTTATTCGCGTTTTTGGCATTTCCTTAAAATATGTTTTTTGACCTCTTGAACTTTCCGCGGATTCGTTCTTAATCATTTTTTGTACGCTCATTTAGTTAGGAGTTATGTCTTTGTATCTGCATGCATTATCCGATTTACTTTAATTTATCTTGTCGTTTCAAGTAATTGGCTGTTGCTTGATATCCCCGGTGTCGCTGCGCTTGATGTGCATGCTGACGAGGTGCCTACCTGTCTATTACCCACTTCATCGTCCATACTGGCTCCAGGAGACAGTTGGTCGTTGCTGGAGAGGACTGGGTGCACGGTCCTTGTGGCCGTGCTAGACTCGAATTGTGGTTCCATGCACTCAGTGTGGAGCGGACTACGGTCGGGCCACTGCCTTGTGTGCACTTGTTTCCAAAATGCAGCATGCTTGTGTTTGCCTGTGAAGGAGTGTGGGCCGGCTCTGTTGATGAAACGTGGCTCGCATCCACATGCCTCCCGGTCTTATTCCCTCGGGTTTACACTGCATATGTGGTGTGTGAGTGGAACTGTGGATGGTGCAGCGCAAGCCACGCTTGGTCCCTCCGTATGTGCAGGCGACCTGTGGCTGGTCACAGGAACCGGCAAGTTCGAAACCGAATACCCGTAACCATTTAGGAATAGGGTGTCACAACATGTCCTCCATTGCGCGCACGGTTACTCGCCATACCAGAACATTTTTCGGTCATGCGATTTCCTGATCCTTCACACTGCAGCCAGGGAAGCGAGAGCACCCAACCAACCCTAACTTTGACGTCAGCTTCTTCATGCTCCTAGGTAAAGTCATACGTTGGGCACCTTGCTTTCGCTTCCAGCCGACTTCCGGGCCCCCGAAAGAGGGTCTGCGAGTAGACGACGAGCGCGCTTTGGAATAACATGCCTTAAGCCAAGGAAGTCTGCGCAGTAAACTTTTGCTGCACATTAACAGGCAAAGTCTGTCTGAACTGAAAATTCTCCGTCGTATATCTTCCTTGCTAGTGTGATGCTGTCATCATGGACCAGCACTGCTCCGAAGGCTGCGGTGATCAAAAACAGACAGCAACGCAACACCTTTTGTGCAAACAGGCCAAGTCTCGTAGCCGTAGAACAGCATCGCTCTCACAGTGGCATTATAAACTCGGCCCTTCAGAGCTAGACTCAGATCGCCTCGACTCCAGAGATGGTGGAGTTTAGCAAAATAATCCTAAGCTTTGGAGACGCACAAAGAGACCTCCACCGTTAAACGCTTGGTGCTGAGGCAGCTTCCGGGGTCAAAGAGCTTGTCTACTACCCCCAACAAATGACCAGTCCGGCAGAACGACCTTGCACTTTGATGGTGCGAAGATCATCTCATACAGGCACAGACTCATCCAACCTACACAAGACATTTTGGGCGGCCTGTGAGGAATCGCAGATCACGGCGAAGTCAGCTGCATACTCTAAATCCCGAAGTCGGTCCCGGAAGCAGCTCGACATTACTGAGTTTGCAGTTCTCTAGAGCACCCTCAAGGGTTTCGTCCAAATCGAAATTGAACAAGTAGAATGATGCTAGTCAACCCTGTCTCACGCCGCTGGTGATAACAAAGGGGGGAGAAAGTCTGTCATACATACGCACCAGGCTCGAGGTTTGCGAGTAGATGGCTTAAAGTAAGATGACATATTTCTCGGGCACTCCGCTTCTCAGTAGATAACTCCAGAGAGCAGCTCTGTCAACTGAGTCAAACGCGCTTCGTATCCCTAAGAAGACAATGATCGTTTGCCGGCCGAATGTTTGACGACACTCGAGTATTTGGCGGAGTGTAATGGTGTGATCGATGCAACGCTGATCTGAGCGGAACCTAGCTTGCTTTTCATGTATGCTCTTTTCGAGAACCAGGTTGTGCCTCCTTAATAGCGAAGCTGCAAGCACAATGGAAGCAAAACAGATGAGATTAATCCATCTCTGGTTGGTTCAGTCAGTTAAGGTACCCATTTTTTTGAAGACGGGCGATTGAAGATGAGGTTACGAACCGCATAGCAAAAGCGCGAGGTGTTTTTGCCAATCTCCGCCACCTGTAGTGCAGACGCGACATTACTCTTGCCGTGAAGGGCAGAGTTTATAACGCAGCCGTCCGTTCAACTCTACTATATGGTTGTGAGAGCTGGTCCATCAGGTCGACAGACATAAACAAACCAGTCACATTCGACCATCGCTGCCTTCGCAGCTTAGCTCATGTCTGGTGGGGGCACCGCGTGAGCAATGAGCGTGTTCGGCGTCGCGTATTTGGTGCAGGAAGAGCAAGTGAACCGCTCAGCACCATTATATCACAAAGCAGACTCCGATGGTTGGGCCACGTGTTGCGCATGCCAGCATACCGACTTCCGCGACGTGCAATGTTTGCGCCTTGTGGGTGCGGTTGGAAGAGGAGGAGGGGAGGCCAAGCGATGACTTGGTCGAGAGAAATGAAAACCCTCACTTCGAAGTTGGCGTCGGTTGGTGCATCTCGACTGCCTGGCTGAGGTCTTAAGGACAGTGAACACGTTTGGTTGGACACACTTGCTGAAATGGCTAGTGTTGTGAGTTCCATTGTCCACCCCCCCCCCTCCTGCTTAGCATCCCCTCCAATCACGATCTCACTCGTCAGGCATAGTATAACTCTCATTTTACAGCACGATAGCCAGCTGTTAGCTCTCCGGAACGATATCCATTCGTTGCTGGGGACTCATCCTGCGTGCCACTGTATGTTTTTCTTTTCTTGTCTTTTGTTTTGCAGCACAATAGCTGAGGTATTTTCCACCTGCGGCTAACGTGTATGATGATGATGTGGATGATGATGATGATGATGATGATGATGATGATGATGATGATGATGATGATGATGATGATGATGATGATGATGATGATGATGATGATGATGATGATGATGATGATGATGATGATGATGATGATGATGATGATGATGATGATGATGATGATGATGATGATGATGATGATGATGATGATGATGATGATGATGATGCTGATGGTGATGATGATGATGATGATGATGATGATGATGATGATGATGATGATGAGGATGATGAGGATGATGATGATGATGATGATGATGATGATGATGATGATGATGATGATGATGATGATGATGATGATGATGATGATGATGATGATGATGATGATGATGATGATGATGATGATGATGATATTGAAGACGGGCACGATATCCGCTAGGCTCCAAACAAATGGGACAACTTTAGTGACCCAGATCTCTTGGAGGAGCGAAGTTAACACCTGAACCAATGATGGGTGTCCATACTAAAGAAAAGCCTGAAGGCGTTCATCTGGGCCAAGAGCATTGTATAGCCTTAAATGATGAAGCGCATAGGTAACTTCAGCTTTAGATTGTGATGAATAGAACTGATTGCTTTACGTATTTGATTTGTCTGAGAAGTTCTTATTAATGCCAAATGTTACAAAGCGTCCTACTAAATATGTCTAATTGTAACTAATGGTGCTAACAATTCTTTGAGCTTTACTACTCCATAGCGTCCACATTTATGCAGTTTATATCCATATATTCAGGAATCAAAGCATAAACCATCCTTCTCTATTTTATTTCCCGAACCCCGTTTAAGCTGTATAGGTATTGCGAAAGTAACAAATACGCGAAAAGCTATTGCCACACATCTGGATACTGCCTTGAATAGAAGCAAAATGCCTAGATAAGCCTAAGACTTCAGGATAACGTAGCAGTTTGCTGCCTTAAACTCACTTATCCTTACAATGAGGTTACAACTTCTACTAAACGGAGTGAGACAAACGCATCATGCAAACCATACTTTGTGCACTAATTCTTTGTTCTACCTTAAAAATTACATCAACGTATAAACTGTAATGTCTACACAGTGTGCCCTGATCTTTCCTGGGTGCAATCGCCCATTAGAATGAGAAATACTTTTCTTTCTTTCAAGCGCCGGTATCGACTATTTCGAGTAAAAGTAGCAATGCGAAACCTCTCAATTCAACTGGAACCCATATTTGCAGCCATTCAACTTAGTGCACTTAGCAATTGACTATACGGGCACTCACCTCTGAACAGTTTCGGCATGGGATCAAGCTGAGTGATCGCTTGCAGCAATGGTAGCAATGACGTAGCTCTTTGCCTGGGTCCGGAACACGAACGTATGGCGTTTCAGCTGCGATCAATTCTCCTGAAAAAAGAGTGAAAACTAAGCGAATTAAAATGCGAACAGAATAAGCACTAATGCATGATGAACCACATCAGTTTCTGCATTTACAACCTCAATAACCTCCATCGATTATGAAAGCTAACCTCGATTGCACTGAGAATTGTCCACATATGAACTTGTATTCACAATGATGCTTAGCTTTCTAGTCTACAGCTGAGTTGGGGTCCCAGCTACGTTTGTCATTTTACGCAGAGAATGGGAGCACAGTTACTCGAATAATGATTAAATAAGCTCACTAAATTGCTAGTGGAAGGACCAGCCCAGACAGTAACTTACACGTCTAATGTTGAATAGCTGGAATCCAACAGACCGGTAAATAGCAAAATTCGCAACTCCCTTTTCTGAACCATCAGATGACACACTCGCATCACAACAGTGCTCTTCAGTTGATGGCATAGAGCATGTGCCTGAACCACGGTCAACTATGTGACGGTGACCACTCCGTATCGTGCTCCACGTAGTTCCGCAATTACTGCGTGGCATTTGTTGCAACTGGCTGGATTTACACTTTTTCGTCGCGGTTTGATGAGCTCCAACTACTGAAATCATTTTCTGTTGAATATTGACAACGGAGGTTGTTTCCACTGGGTTTACAAATTTGGAAAACTCTTCACTCTAGTTCACACGTGAAATTTCCGCAGTTATAATCACACACCCAGGATTTCGACTTCTTTCGATTGAGGAGTCTCCCAGCTTTCTGTCAAGCTTTCACTCGTCTCATTCCAGAATCGTGTCTTACTGCTACAGAGCACACTACGTTTCCACTGTGAAACCCTCTCGGTGGAGCAACCATCCACTTTCGCCGATCCTCATTTCAGCAGGTGTCATCAAGCAACCTGTCCAGCACGATAAATGTCTACAACAGACACCTTAAGAGCGATCGCACGACTCACGGCGGGAACACACAAAGCACGATGAGCCAGTAATTTGATCTTGACGTGACCGTCGGTAACCAAACGTTACGCGACGACGACGCGACAATTAGCCTCACAAAAAGTAGCGGCCATTCGGTCATCAGGCTCACAACGCTGGTGCGGTAGTCACTGGTGTGCTAATCAAACTTGTACTAGGGTAGTAAAAGCCGGGTTGACTTGTAAAAATTGCATTAGCTGGTACCATTCGACGTGTGTCAAGGTCTGTTGAAGCGACACAAAACGATATAATAGGCCGGGTTTACTTCGCTTCTGTTCAAAGTGCAAGACGGTTCAACCCATAAAATGCGTACCAGCCTTGACACAAAATTATGACAGTCTAGTCGCAGAAACTTAACCTCGTTTCAATGCAAAGTTGTTTCGCACGAGTCGACAATAGCACCTGTTGCACCTCATCCTATTCCGCCAAAACCACGAGAAAGGGCTAGGCGTTCATACGGCCGCGACGTAATAGGAACCTTGAGAACCACGAACCAAGTCAACATCGCGACCAATAGAGGCATGCCTAGCTCCAACGCCGACATCCTTTCATCTAATGTACCGACTGCTGCAACATCGGTAACACCCGCCCTTCCAAGGGACCAACGAAATCCGAAGCGCTCTACAGTTCGATCCACCTATGTAATTTTTGCTGCTCGCTATATGTAAGGTACGACCTCAGTAGCCTCACCCAATACAGCCGCAAATCGGGTCAAGAGCAAGGTGTAAACTGCAGAGAAGTCACTAAACCCATCGATAACCGTGCTACACACATCACCGAAGAGAAGACCTAAATACGAGGCCTTGATACTTATCTGCACCAATGTTCCTAAGTCCAAGGCCAAAACTTTAAGGTGTAAAATGCCGGATACTTCAAAGCAGTTTAATGTCCCTTGTGATAAAATCGGAGTCGAATCCAGTCCGACTTATATAATGCACATAACCAGACATCCAACCTCGATTCCTAGCGTGGAGTCCCAACTAATGCGAGTAACATTGGGATCAACGGACGATGTCAAGACGGTGATTTTGTCGTTAAACCGTCTGCGGACTGAACCCGTGAGATACGCATATTTCCGTATGTTCCATGGAGCGAACGTCCGCAGAAGGAAAATAATTTAAATGACCACCACACGGAGAGTAGCAAAAGCATCATTTTTGTTTATAGTATGTCCGAGCTACCGACACCAAGGGACGAAGAAGCCCACGTTCATAACCGGGGATAATTGCGTTACATCCGTGAACCTCTCAGTGCGAGAGACGTCACCCTTCAGTCGCTTACGCGAATACCCGTGTCACCAAGCTACAGAAACAATAGCCCGAGATTACTAAAACTAACGGTGTAGTCACAACAGATGGCGGTGAACTTTATCAGTAGCTGGCAGATACTATGTAACAAACTTCCATCGGAACTACGACTGAAGACATCAGATAGAGAGCCGCAACCACTCGCTGTTCTCGCGGAAAATACACCACCCACAACTCAACATAACCACAACAACGATTCAGAAACCTATGCGCCAAGACTCTTGACTATCGAGAAAGCTACCCATGGACCACATACAGCAGGTGAAATTTAGGTCCAAAACAGATAATATTCATATCGAGATATGGCAGTTCATTCAAATACGATTAAGTGCCGGCCTCTCATCGATCGGCACAAATGCACATCCTTCATGTCCTCCTAGTCAACAGCTTTTGACATCCGAAAAGCTTATCTGTATGTACACCAAGGCTCAAGGATTACTGAGTAAACTTTCCGAGATGTTGCTGCGTCAAGGATCAATAGCCTGCGACCTCACTGCTATAACAGAGACTTGCCTACGCACTGCCATACGTGACATCGAGGTCGTACCACCAGGTATGTCCATTGTTTGGCACGACAGACGTAGTAAAGATAGTGGAGTGTCTCACTACTTCCACAGTGACCTCCAACGTGAGCCCGTAGAGGATCTGGTCAGCACGGTCCAGGATTCCTTTTGGTGCGTTCTATGTTTAAATAGTGACAACACTCGCTTGGTGACGGTCATTTACCGCCCTCCTTCTTCTAATCCCGAGATGGACTTCTATCTGGCATTCGCACTAAGGCCGGTGATAAACACAACTTACAGTCACATTCCCATAAGTGGCGATTTCATTATCCATGCACTGGAATCCCAAGCAGCTCCCGGAGGACTGTTATTGTGTCGATCTGCAAGAGTTAATTTCCCGTTTCCTGCTATTTGTCCTCATCAACACTCCCACAAGGTTCCGAGAGATAGATAAGCCGTCAATACTGAAGCGGATATTCATCAAAGAAAAACTGACGGTCGAGACGATGATCTTCCACTTACATTGGGCCACAGTGCTCACATAGTTTTACTCTTCGAATATGTTTGCCAAGCAGAATATCCCGTGAAAATTGATGGCGCAACAAAAATGATTATACGCTATGACATATTACCTCTATTAGATAAGGCAGCCAACTTGACCTTACTGCAACACGAGGAACCAGCTAGTGCAAGGGAACATTTCGTCAGTCAGTTTAACACTCTGGGCGCAGAAGCTTCAGCATATAAGACCTTCCGCCCGAGAAACGTGGTCTGTTTGTGCAAAGCAGCACACGAAGGTGTATAGCGGTGTGAAACTCGAGTTGTTATCACTACAAATTATTTCCGACCGCCGAGAGCTGGATGACCTGTGTGACCCAACCTAAGCACTGCACAGGTTGTACTCGAGGATCGAATAGCTTACCAGCAGGATTTGGAAGTGCGTATGGCCTCAAAACACAAGCATCTGTAGCAACACGCCAAAAGTTTACGTATGGTGAAGCGGGGAACTTCTCCTCTTCAACCAGCGGACGGACCCACATGGACACCGAATTAGGCAGCAAATTCCCTACGCCTACAATATGCTGTAACGTTTCAGTGCGATCACTGGCCACACTACTTTATTACCCTCAAAACCCTCACGGCAGAAGCTGTAGAAAAATAACTGCTGTGTATGCGTAAGCAGAGCCCTCCTGGAGTTGATAATATACACAGGTAGTCACTAGCGGCGATAGGAGAAAGTTTAACCGAACCTTTGGTTAGATACTTCCAACACTGTTTTAATGAAATGTATGTGCATGACATGTGAAAACAGGGCGTGGTTACTTCAGCTAACAAGGGATGTAGTCGTTCCGAAACAGTCAACCACCGTCCCGTAATCCTACTACCGGTACTTTCAAATGTCATGAAGTCATTGTTGCTGATGCGCTAACGGCCAACTTGAAAGAATTCAACTTTCTTGCCCCGGAACAGCATGGCTTCCGAAGAAATCGATCGTGCAATGCAAATCTGTTACTAGCACGATCCAGCTAAACCGAGGCAGCGGACTCTGGCACAGGCGTTGCTGTGATTTTTCTTGACTTACCAAGGGCTTCCGACCGGTTAGACCATGACATTTTGCTCTTCAAACTCCGAATCTTTGGTATTGGTGATCCTCCCTAGGATGGCTCAGAAGTTTTCTCTTATACCGGCGCTTGGAGATGAGTGCGCGGATCCCTAGCAGATCCCATCCCTGTTGAATGCGGAGTACCACAGGATTCGGTACTGGGACTACGGTAATTTTTGACGTGTATCGACAATATCACACACCTCATTAGCTTGGACTGCCTTCTTTGTGCCGATGAGATCAAGATATGGAGGGCGCTCAATACACCAGATTATATCACAGTATTACAAGCTGATCTGGATAGGGTATACGTGTAGTCAATCTACTTTGATTCAATGTGGACAAATGTAGAGTATTGCACTTACGGCACAATTTGTTTTGTTCCTATAAACTTGGCAACCAGGAGCTTCAAACTCTTCTGGCGTGAAGGATCTGAGTACTTTTTCAGGTGGAATTTGGATACTCGAATCAAGCTAAAACGTCGGCAAGGTAGGGCATCAAACATGTGGGCCTCCTGAAGCATGCATTCGGACCACGCGACCCTCAGATTTTCCACAGGTTCTAGACTCATACATACGCCCACATGTCGACTACACAATACAGGCCTGGCAAGCATGACTGAAAAGATCTCACCGCCTTGGAAATACCAAAAATCCGGGCAACCAAATCTGTTAATGGTCTATATAATCATCCGTATAAACGAAGGCTTCAAGTGCTCGGCGATTGCGCGGGGACTTCATTTCAACTAACCGCCATTTGCTAGGGCTCAGTCACAACAGTGATCTGTGGTGCCTCAGTCTCAAGCTGATAGAGCAGTACAGTCGTTTGAAATGCTGTCGGAATTTCTTTTCCTTATGCGTTTGCAGGACTGTAATGCCCTGCCGGAACCTGTTATATGTGCTCCCAAGCAAGCAGAGTTTAAAGCCCGAGTTGACCGTGCACTCATTTCGCTGCAGAATCTCACATGACTCATTCATTACCCATGGATAAACACGTGTCTTTAAGCGATTTCACTGGCGGTCAAATCCCAGCTATTGTTCCAAGTGTGTGTTTACACCAGGGGACAGGATTTTGAACAACATTCCATCTACCGTCATTCCTTATGGATTCACCCCAGATTTACAGCTTACACTCCGTATACCTCAGTGAGATCCCCGCTATAAACCCAATTTGGCTTACAATTGATCTACTTTTTGAAGTTAAACCTTAACCATCCCACGGGACCTCTTCAACTTCAGCTTTTAAATCTGTACAAAACCATTGTTCTATTATATGGCTAACAGATAACAAGTTAAAAACTACCATCGGCGTATCCACGATTGTATGCGGCGTTCGGAACCAGATTACTCCAAATAAGACGACGCGATGAGCCAGTACAGTACACGTAACGCCTAACGGTAAACCGCATGAGTTTCAAATGTCTGTCAAGAAATATCTCGCCGTGAAAAACATTATACCCATGCTATGGGTATCTCAGTCATGGGATAGGGTATTCAAGAATAGTGTCAACATCTTATATGGGCATAATGAATAATTATCGTATCTTGTTACTTCTTCTGAAAGCGAGTTACTTCGAGTGGTACAAAACATAACTATACCGTCAAGTTTTACCTTGCGGAAAGTTGTGACAGAATCCCTCTTTGAAATATGATCACATTCATCAAAGGGACCAAAATCAACATGGCGAGTGAAGAAAGCTGAACTAAAAATGCCTTTTCAAGTATATGAGGCACCTCTCCCCAAGCATATTTTCCAGGCGTACTTAAGGATCGCTATCAGTCAACACAATTTATGGGTGTTACCGATATGTGCTTACCACACAAATAGTTCGAAGGTGAGATAACCTGCTTATATGTAAACTAGGCATACCGGGATGAATTGTTGCCAATTCTATGTTGGATGTCAACCTATGTAAAACACAACTGTGTACCTATGGATCTGTTCCCATGCGGGAACAGTCTCGCACAGTCGGGGAATAAAACAATGGTTTATTTAAGGCATTTAGTTTCCTTCAGATATTTAAAAGGCGCGGAAATAAGATGAACACTAGTAGATGAACGCATCTAAGGTGGAACCAAAATTCTCATATGCCGGATTCAAGTTCATAAAGCATCTATGTGTTACTCCAAATTGATATTAGCGTGCTACCTATGGTGACCACGTCAGTCAATGAACAACAGTTTATTGTGAAAATCTATCTTATTTCTCTGAGCATACTGTTATTCAATCAAACATCCCACTCACATGCCAATACAATAAAGACCAAACCGTAGAAACCTACCAGGAATAATATCCCTATTGGCCACAAGATTCCACCCCAACAAACCGTTGGAGCGAACACGGAATGACCCTGGCTCCTGGGAAATGCAGTCGGTGAATGAGATGTTCTCGGTGATCTGAAAACCAGTCCATGGTTTGGAATGGAAAATCAGCGGAGGATGCATGTTCCGATCCGAAGAGTCTTGATTGTCACACTGCCGCAAATTCTGGCTGAGCACGCTTTCTGGAACATCCTCGGAGCATCTGAATCGCGCGGCGAACTTTGCCTCTAGGAATGCCGCATGTGCCTCATGAAACTGACCGAGTTTCCGTAGAGCGATGCCGCAACGATGCAGCAAACTCCGGCGTTCAGCCACTGGCGGATCGTTCTGCAAATAATGTCATATAGCACCGATCAGAAACGATGTTTCAAGACAACATTTCGGCGTTTGAGTCATCAGGTCTTCGTCATAAGGCCGGTGTCGCAGTGTAGCCCAAAATATTTCAATCGACCTAACTGATTTCTAACGCGAAACGGACAAAACCAGGACTTACTTCAAAGCAACGAGTAAGATCATCCAATTCCGCCTCAATGGCTGCCAAACTTTGCAGTAACTGCGACCTGCAGTCATACCCCATTGATCGACATCCGGTGGTGTTCGCGGCGATGATCGCCTCTGTACTGGAATCTAGTTTAATGAGCATTTCACCACGGCTAGCAAGCGATTTGTTCCGGTGGTTGTGTGCTACTTCATCTGATTTCAATCCATCTTGACAAGTTTCACTTTCAGAGGCCCGAGAAATTAGAAAATAATGAGAGTTGTGATACCCGTTACTTTGCATGTGATTGTTGTACTGACATCAATGTAAATTTTTCAACATGAAGATGGGTGTCCTTGAAGTAACGCCACGAAAGATAAACAGGAGATCATGAACTGTTTCAACGTGTCCAATGTACTGAGTCTTCGGATAATCTTCGTCAAGCTGTTGAGCCAGAACCCAATCAGTTTCCGTTCTTACAATCATCGCTTGGCTATAGAGCGGACGTATAAAAATTGAGTCCCTTAAATATACACTGTGTACAAGTTCCTCTTCAATCACACAAGCAATATAAAAGCGTCAAGTAGAAAGGGAACCAGTCGCTACACTGGCTCGTGTACTACGGAAGATTGGCCCAGCATATACGGTACAGCACAGTGCGGACGAACAAAGCTTAAGTAAAACACATCGTTTAAAAACTGGATCTCATTCTATGCACCTTGCAGTGATTGGGTGGAACCAAAGTGAAACCCAATGTGGACAGACTCACCTGGTGACAAGGAGAACCGACTAACCGCAGGCAGACGCATCAGGGCACACACTCGATCAAAATCGGTTTTCCGCCGATGAAAACCTGATGGCCATATCCCCTGTTGCGACTTAGACCGACGTGACTGTTCCCGAGCGACAACCACAGCCTTTGCCACCAATTCAACGAATTTTCTGAAGTCTCCATTAAGCGAACATTCGCTCTTCGATTGTGACATTTCGATGAATCCTGTAAAGAAATCGATGGTGAAAGTGCGTGCAGTTGTCACTGTCTAATTAAGCTAAAATATGCGTAAATGTACTGGAATAGGCAGCCATAATGCATGCATAACCGCCTTTCGCAATCCTGTCATTAGGCTTACTTAGAGGTTAGAAAATGCCAGACGTGAAGTACCCGAACGAAGGACAGTGAATCAGCGTAGCACCAAGTGACAACACTGACGTATCGTCCAATCACATTGGTCAGACCTTTTTAGTGTTCAGTTTGACACTGCTTGACACCGATGACGGGACAACAAGATGGGCGCCCAAACACACCCTGGTAACGAGGCAAAGCGACTACGTCGGATGATGCAACAACAAGCTATCAATGTCTCACTGATGTCCCAGAGAAGAGGACACTGGGAGCCTGCATGATGCAATGAGTTAAGCTCACCGAACTGTCATGCAGTAGCAGCGGTTATTTTCAGACAGAAACACTGCGTACACCTTTGTCTTTGCCTGCAAGTCCTACCACTTCAGGGAAGTTGAGCGTTATTCCAATTCATGTGCCAGCACAGTTGAAAGCCACTTGGTGTGCAGGTGGTGGTTAAACATTGATCCGGTGATCACAGTACCTCTGTCGACAGCATGCATCCAACTGAGTGTTTGCAATCGCCTGTTGGAAATTTTCAGTGCGGCAAAGTATGACGCGGCTTATTCCGCTGGTTGCACTGGTCGCAGTGTGTCCGAAGGGAGATTGAATATAGCAAACTCCATCAACGGATACAAAAGTGCGAAATCAAGCTGGCGCAAAATTATTTTGCCATTCCGGTCATACAAAAGTACTTGGTGACAGCTAAGTGCAGATGCTGAGCGTACGAGATCCGATCCCTCCGTTCGGCTACTGCAAACCAAATCGGACGTCGTGAGATTCAGGTAAATTTTATTGGCTGCTCTGGTTATGTCTGTTTCAAGTACGGTTCTGTGTAGCGTGTATTTGAGCTAGAGGTCACTGAAGTAAGTCCTGGGTGCTGTTACTCAAATCATATGTCACTGCAGTGTAGTCACACTGTGTCGACGTGGCTCCAGATAGAGTGTTAATTGCAACGCTACTATCTAGCGTTTAGCAACTTCTTCTTTGGAAAATTCACTGTAGTTTATACTGATTTATGTCCGTGGTGTAGTAGTGGACACCCTTAAGGAAGCTGACATTGGCGTTACCAGGTGAAAAACTTGTTGGTTGCGCTTCTGCGGACGCTGTCTTGCTGTTTAACAATTTTGGGGAAGCACAATCAACCCTGGATAATCTCTCTAGACGGGTCCCATCATTTAACATGCGACTCTCATCTTCAAATTGTTAAGTGTTGTTGCAGAACTACTTGATACATAATGAGCCACTAACCGTTAATAGCGAGGAACTCGAGGTACTTGATCATATATTCGCTAACTTTGACAGATGCGCAGCAACAGTGGACGCACATTCACTGAAATCACTTCACGTATTGCAAAACGAGAATTGCCTTCTTGCATCTGCATCAGAACGTTTCTGTCTATCCGAAACTTCGTATTCACACGATCACAGTGAATGCCATTCTAAACGGTGGTAATAAAACCAGGTCCCTTCGGTCTGGGGAGCTGAGGCGCTTTTAACCCTGATACTCAGCGAATATTAATTATTGCTAATGTCGGTTGGTACAAGCGTGTCCGCAAACATGACGTCCAAAGCGGAGTGCTGGGCAGTGCTAAGCATGTTACTTCTTTATGATATCAGGGCGCATTTAATAAGTGGCATTGGCTTGCACTGTATATATATATATATATATATATATATATATATATATATATATATATATATATATATATATATATAATTGAGTAATTCCTGCCAAGTCGAACAACAGAACTGTCCTCCATATTTGGATGTCCTCATCAGGCGCAGGGAGAACGGACTGGTAAAAAGGTATGTCTACCGAAAAACAACGTGGTCTACAGAGTATCGGCATTTTACCAGCTTCACCCCAATGCGGCACAAGCGAATGTTTGTGATGACTCTGTTTAGTCGCGCCAGACGAATATAGCCGACCGATTATCCAGCCGATGAACTAGAACTAATTACTAACACGCTAATTGCTAATGGCTACCCCCGAAAATTTATCCGGAAGCACAGCCAAATTCGTGAAATAAAGTTGCAGTACCTAACGTACCTAAGAAAAACCTATTCTTAGAGCTGCTCTTTAAGAGTGACATCGCTACTTTGAGGACTACAAGACGTCTGATTTCCTCCACACAGAACACGTTCTGTGCTGCCGAAGTTGTAATCCTGGACCGAACACATAAGCTACCGTTGCCTCCACTAAAAGCAATTCAGCCTGTTGGGGCCAACTCCCACTGAGTATATCGATTCGTATGTAACTGCGGTGATAGTTACATAGGCAGAACCAATAGAACACTGAATTACCTAATAAAGGAGCACTTACTAAAATGGCTTCAATGCGGGATTGTTCAGCAAACAAGCCCAAACCAGACTATGTGTGTACGCAGACCGCCAGCATCTTCGATCGGCTGACACTTATGGACATCGGTTCACCGAATCGTGGTTAACAGGGCGTTTAGGATCTTGTTTCCGCATTCCAATTCCCGGCTCCTCCAGTTTGCTGAGACTATTGTCATTAATCGGACTAAGCCAGTGCTTTGTGTGCAAAAACAATTAACGGTCAGCCTCAGGCTGCCCTAGTTGTAGAACAAAGACACCCCATTTTTCTCTCGTTTCTTTGTAGGTATGTCTGTACCCACAAATTGTTGTTTAAATTACCGGTTATCGTTATCGACACTGATAAGGCGATACGAAATGCATGCATCTGCGGAAGTTTGTCTTCTAATTGTACTTTTCAAATTCCACGAAATCTTAGGATGGCATATCAGTAAAGACTAAATAAACGTTTATAATCAGCAATACGCAACCATCCCCATCCAGGCATGACTAGTAAATTATGATCTTGTGAACCACCGAACACAGAGCGATTGGGAAACTGTACACAGAGCAGACAAATGTGCTATTGGGGATTGAAAGAAAAAACATAGCAGATAAAACCTTGGACTTAGTGCGGTGATAAACCTAAACTTTGACATCAGTAAAACAGTAGAAAGATAGAAATGCAAAAAGCAAGAACAGGAGTCACAACAGATTCAAGGTAGAGGAGTTATCGTAAGAAAGATCAAGTGAAATAATACGGTTATCCATGCAACCGTCTCCTCTGAGCCCGCTTACATGCGGCGGAATATTTCGGGGGTTTTCACCTGCACCACCACAGCCTGGCGTGACTTAAAAACAAACATGTCAACACTGGCCGTGTGTCTCGGATTGCGACACGCAATCTCACTAGTGGCGTCGGCTGACTTTGAAGTCAGCCTCTGCCAATACCGACGAAACCGTCGGTCGTGGAGTGCAGGGATAGGAGAGAGGCACACCGAAACCCTCCACTTCGGTGACGGTCCCAGTGACCGTATTGGCAGAGGCTGACTTCAAAGTCAACCGACGCCACTAGTGAGATTGCGTGTCGCAATCCGAGACACACGGCAGGTGCTCCAAAAAAACGAAAATCTACTTCTAACCGTTGTGTCAAACACTGCTCGTGGAGCTCAATGGCCTAGTGATCATGGCGATAGCCGCCAAACACTATGCGCCGAGTTCCACTCCTAGCTCAGTTATCTCTACCTGATGAGTCTACACAAAGACAAAACCGTCGGTCGTGGAGTGCAGGGATAGGAGAAAGCCACACCGAAACCCTCCACGTCAAAACTGCTTTTACTTTCTATTAGACCATTTTTTCATAAGCTGATCACTGAAGCCATTCCTAGCTGTTTTGTATGCATAATGAACGTCCTCACCATGCGGTGGGACAAAGGCAGACACTACTGCGCCAATTGACAGTAGTGGAGAAAGGCCCGGGAACCGAATGGCCACGACCCAACAGCCTCATTTATAACTCACCGAAAGCAAAGGAACGCGTCGGAACCGCAGATGTGTGCGAGCAAAGAATGGACACAAGCAAGTAATGCTATATTATCATTGCATACAGACTCGGCGCGCCATGCAATGTACAACAGGAGATGCTTAGATGATTAGAGGCGCCGTTGTTCAGAAACGATGCATCCAGTTCATAGAGTTTGAGATATCCAATAACCTGATCATGCTGGCTTCCTATCGTCTGAAATAAAATTCCCCGACCGTCCGAAAGTTGGTGGATCGCCGCCAGTCTAGCAGCAATGCCCACACAAGTAATTGAGAAACGTTTTGTAAACCGGCGTGACCAATTGGCTCAATTGATGAATAT